TAGCAAGTGGGTTGAAGCATTTTCCACTGAACTAATACAGTGAAGATACCAACCAACATACCAATGCAGCAGGTATTTGTCAGATGGAGACTACGTGTAGCACTGACTCTGACCAGGGTGCTCATTTCACTGTCCAGGTCATACAAAATGTAATAGCTTTATAAATCTGAAATTCCACATAGCCTACCATCTCAGTTTAGTGGTATGGTAGAAAGAACGAATAGAATACTGAAAGGCATGATCTGGAAAACCATTCAATAGAATAATTCCACATGCTTTTTGATCCTACCCTTTGTGTTAATGCTGGTATGTAATACTGTATCAAGCTCCACAGGTTTTACGCTCATGTCCTGATGTCAGGACGTCCCACAACAGGAAATGAAGCTCTTCTGAGACTCATCTTCTCAGAACCAGAACGTCTCACTCATGAGAAAGCTGTGCAGGTTATTGGACAATGTCCAGGTTTTATAAACAGCAGCAGTAGTTAAAATGAGACCGAGGAAAAGATGTAGTATGGTGTATTTTGATGGCAGGGTGAAGTTTGTCAAATACAATATAGAACAGAAATATTTTGGACCATCCTCTACAATAGATGAGTCCATCAGTCTATAAGGTTTTGCTGCACTCCTGTAAAATGGGTAGTATTGTGTAAACCAATTAAAATGATTTGAACAACTGAATAACTATCAGAGAGAACAAGGTGTAGAGCTGGATGAACACAGCAGGCCAAGCAGCATCAAAGGAGCAGGAAGGCTGACGTTTTGGGCCTTGACCCTCCTTCAGAAAATGGACTACTATCAGTATCACGTGTAGATGGACATATGTGGAATGCCAACGCCAGCTCCTATCCCAGTGCCACTGCCTCAAGTACCACAGGCAGGTCAGGCTGAGGGAGTTGGGCAAAGGGCGCAACCATAACAGATGCCCCAGCACTGGGGGAACAGGCAAAATCTCAGCCAGGTATTAATTTCTCCAACCTGGACTCCAGGGAGTCACACATTTAAATAATTTAAATGATCTAATGAAATGATTGCCAAATGACCTGGCTGAGATCAATGACAAGAAACTGTGAGTCGAGCAGAAATTACCTTGTGTCCTACAGATAACTACTTTGTGAGATGAAGCTGCCATTTGTGCTTATTACATGTGGGTCACTGATGGGTGTGGATGAGTGGAAGAAGTCAAACTGATCTGCAACACGACCGATGGATTATGTGATAGAATTACGGTACACCCTGGAGTGGGCATAGAGTATGTTGGATACTCTAACAAAGAAGAAGACCAATGAGTAAGAGAGCCAGGTTGGGTCTGGAGTTTGGAAGAATGCTAATTGCGAGGTAATGGCATGCATCTCTGAAAAAAAAGGTGAGACACAACTCTTATCCGGTGAAGGTGAGGTAATCAGGATACGTGCAAAGGAAAAACGATGATTAACTTCAACTCTACAACATTACTGCCATTTGTCATTTGTTTTCCACCCATTACCACGACCCACGCTCAGTACCTACACCACTTGTGATAACCATATCAACATCTCCTACTATCCTCAAAGCCACCCCTGAAACCTGTCCTGACTTAAATGACGGGTCACAAAATGGTTTAATTCTAAAGAAGACGGGTAAAGTCCTGTACGATAGCATATACCATGAACTCATGCCCATGATCCTGAGCGTAAATAGAATCCAGATGGAAGAATGGTGCCTTTCCCAAATCAGAGACCTGCACACGCAATTAACTCAAATATTGCTAGAGCAGGGAATGATAAGAAGTCAAAGCAAAAAATTTAAACCTGACTGAAGAGATGTATCATCAATGATGTACCAAAAGCCGATGGAGCTGGAATATCCGCTGTTAACACCCTTGATGTAGAAAGTCTCAACAGCCAACTTTGAACCTTACCCAGAAAATGAACTAAATAGTAGTGTCCAACAGATTGCTGAAAGAAGGGTGAATGGCAAGCAAACTGAAAAGTAAACAGTCAAAGTACAGGAAGACTATTATAAAGAAAAAAAATGAAGGATGATGAAAAACAAGGAAATAGGACTTTGTGCAGCATCTGAGAGACCTGGACATTGGAACAATTGAGAGAAAATTTTGAGCAGGCCAGCCAAGGCGGAGACACTTTATGGATCAGTCACAAACTGTTGGAAAACTTACCTAAGAAGGAGATACATGTCAGGATGTCAACTCCGACAATTGACTAGGTTGCGGTTTAAGAAGCATTGTGGAGGTGCCATTAGTAAAGCATTGGGAATGATGCTACAACACCCAATAGAATAATTGGATAATATAGTTATTACCAAAGCAGAAATATGGATGTGGCGCAAGAATGTTGTGCCCTATGCTGTTGAGAAGGGTGGAAGCCTGGTAAGTACACTATTGGCTAGATGTCAACATACAGACAAGATAATCTCATAGACCACAATGAACAAAGAATGCTAATTGCGAGGTAATGGCATGCATCTCTGAAAAAAAAGGTGAGACACAACTCTCATCCGGTGAGGGTGAGGTAATCAGGATACGTTGCAAAGGCAAAACGATGATTAACTTCAACTCTACAACATTACTGCCATTTGTCATTTGTTTTCCACCCATTACCACGAACCACGCTCAGTACCTACACCACTTGTGATAACCATATCAACATCTCCTACTATCCTCAAAGCCACCCCGAAAGGTTTCTGATGAAGGGTCTAGGCCCGAAACGTCAGCCTTTCTGCTCCTATGATGCTGCTTGGCCTGCTGTGTTCATCCAGCTCTGTACCTCGATGTCTCGGATTCTCCAGCATTCGCAGTTCCTGCTATCTCCAGATGGAAGAATGGTGCCTTTCCCAAATCAGAGACCTGCACACGCAGTTAACTCAAATATGGCTAGAGCAGGGAATGATAAGAAGTCAAAGCAAAAAATTTAAACCTCACTGAAGAGATGTATCATCAATGATTCAAAACAAATAAAGATCTGAATTGTACCATGGAAGCTAAAACTTTCAATGTTGATATTTATAAAGGTTGCTTATAAATGGGAAGGGAAATATTGTATCATCTTTTCATTAAAGGAATGATGTTTGGGCATGCCCAATTATAATGTTATCATCTGTATTAGATTCAAATATGAGCAAGGAAAAGTGAAATCAAGGTAGTTGATTGCCATTAGTGAGAAGAGACCATTAATGTTATCGAGGAAATTAACCAGGAGTTGCCCAAGTAGTTTGAGAACTATGAAATTAGCAACAGGCTTTTACCTGAAGATCTGCAATGAATAATAAACTGCTAGCTAAAGCCCATTAAACATACGTCAAAGTCATTCAACAAGCCTAAAAAACTGGGCAAAAGACTGAAACTATCAGAGAGACCAGGATAATATTGGAATTGGGGGACAAATATACAGATTCGCCCAGGGATTAGAATTATATCCCATGTTGTTATTATTTTAATGGTTTTTATTTTAATATATTAAACATTTGATAAATGTTTAAATGTTGGAAAGTTGAAATCAAAAAGGAATTGGTCTGGTACTGTATTAGAGATAGTAGGAACTGCCGATGCTGGAGAATCTGAGATAACAAGGTGCAGAGCTGGATGAACACAGCAGGCCAAGCAGCATCAGAGGAGCAGGAAAGCTGATGTTTCGGGTCTGGACCCTTCTTCAGAAATCTGTGGAAATGGGCACAAATGTTAGATAAAATTAAATTACTGCACAAGACATGCTGTCTCAAACAGATATGAAAGCTGCAGGAAAGAGGCACGATGCATAACATCTCCAACAGCTGGAAAATACAAGGAATTTTATTTCTTTAAATCAATTATATACAGCGCCAATCAGTGCTATGCCTTAGGAACCAATGTTATCCATGTGATATTACTATTATAAGAATTGTAATGTAGCCTCGACAACACAGGAATAACCATCCCAAAAGAAGGACCCTGAATTTGGAACTCAGAAAACTACGACCCATTGAAGTCAGCTTGGCCAGTTCACCTCACACAGGTAGTATCTAAGTCCAAGCTGTTAGTCTTGAGATTCAGTGTAATCAGTGACAACATAGAGTAGTGAGTTAACTGTGAAGTTACTAAGAACTAATTGAATGCTTGTATAATTTAAATTATTTGTGTATTAAGACTAAGTTAGGCTGGAGTTTAATTTGTGTGTTTCAGTTGACACTCTTTCAAGGCAAGAGGGTCAACAAAATCACGAAGCTTGACGGTGTTATCAGGCGACATTTACTCAATACTGTAATCCAATCACTACTCAAATTGCATTGGGTTAGGATCATTTAGCTACAGACTTTATTACAAACTTGAACCAGACGTTGATGAAAAAGCTGAATTCAAGAGATGAAGTGAGAATGACTGCCCTTGACATCAGGTAATTCAAGAAGGCAGCTCACCACTACTTCCTCCAGGGCATTTAAGGATGTAATACATTTAACTGGATACTGATTCTCAGACCTCATGGGCATACAGAAATATAGTTTTGTAAACATTTGGTAAGCCTGAATTGAAAAGGAACAATAAGCAAATTTACAAATAACTGATTTGGCTTTGACCCGGTGTTTACTCATGGAAAATAGGCTTCGATGGTCCAAAGAATAAGCAATAATAATTGAGAACTGAAATTTCTGTTGATAACAAAAGCCATAAGTTAGTTATTTAAATAGAGACCTGGCTGAAAATTGAATTTTAGATGTAGTTTTCAGAGAATTATTTGCTGAAATTTACTCAGGTGCTTTTGATCAGCCCCATGTTTCTGAAGGGAAATTTGCCACTTACTTTCAGTGTCTCCTTCAGTAGTACACCATTGGCTTAGAAAGGCCCAAATGGTGATACAGTAGGTCAGTGTACCTTGTCTATTACTGCACAAGCACGATTTAGTTCTACCCAAAGAGTGGGCCCACGTTTCACTGACTTAAGACAAACTGCAGAAAACAGCTATTAATGTAGAGGCACAAAGTAGAGGTAACAATCAAAACTCAACTCCCTACAAATGTTCAAACACTTACAAAAAGATTCGGGGCAGATAAATCGTATTTTGTAATCTTCACAGTTTCCATCTTCTTGGTCTGCATTCACACAAGTAAAGCCAGTGAATATGCTGCACCTGTGTAACACAGAATACATGGGCATGTTTCTGCAATTATTAAAACAGCCTTTTTTTTATGAAATAAAATGAGAATGTCAAAGTCAAAAGGACAAAATCATTATTTACTCAGAGATATTATCTCCAGAGCTTCCAACTGAAACTCCTGATATTGTCTCCACTTCGCAGGCAATGGGGTTACTGCAGATCTGCTCAGGATATTCTTTTTGAAGACTCACAAGGTCCTCAGAATCACTTTTCCCTGATGGGTCATCGCGATCAAACCACCGAGTTTTGCAGCTGCCTAATTTAAGATATAAAAACCAGCGACCTTATTCATAACACTTTGAAAGGCACATGTAAATGATGTTTAAATGAAATGTAAATAATATGATAAGATGTTGAGTGGAGAATAAAAAAGGAGAACACTTAGTAATTGAACAGAGAAATTCAATCGAATCAGGATTGGTTCAAACAGTATTGATGAGAGAACCTGATGAGCTGACTTTACTCCAGTTATACTAACTTGATTAAATTTTTTGGAGAGGTGACGAAGGTGATCGATGAGGGTAGAAGAGTGGATGTTGCCTACATGCATTTTAGTAAGGCTTTTGACAAGGTCCTTCATGATAGGCTCATCCAGAAGACTAAGATGCATGGGATTCATGGTGACTTGGCTGCTTGGATTCAGAATTGGCTTGTCCATTGAAGGCAGAGGGTAGTGGTGGAAGGGTCCAACTCATCCATGCTGACCAGACATTTGAAATTAATCTAGTCCCAGTTGCCAGCATTTGGCCTATATCCTTCTAAACCCTTCCTATTCATGTACACATCCAAATGCCTTTTAAATGTTGTAGCTCTACCAGCCTCCCCCACTTCCTCTGACAGCTCATTCCATACTCGCACTACCCTCTGTGTGAAAACATTGCCCCTTAGATCCATTTTATATCTTCCACCTCTCACCTTAAACCAATGCCATTGAATTTTGGACTCCCCTATTCTGGAAAAAAGACATAGGACAGTACAGCACAGGAATGGGCCCTTCGGCCCACAATGTTGTGCTGAACATGATGCCAAATTAAACTAATCCCGTCACTCCTTGCACATTCATGTGCTTATCTAAAGGCTCCTTAAGTACCAATTCCATCTGCCTCTACCAGAATCCCTGGCAGCATGTTCTCAATACCTAACACTCTCCGAGTAAAAAATTTGCCCCTCACATCTCCTTTGAACTTCCTCCTCTCACCAGAAATAAATGCAATACTCTAAGTGCATCCTAACCAAAGTCTTACAAAGCTGCAACATGATATCCTGACTCTTGTACTCAATGCCCCAACCAATAAAGGCAAGCATGCCATATTCCTTCTTTACCACCTTATCTACGTGTGACCACTTTCAGGGAGCTATAGACTTGAACCCCAAGATCTTTCTGAACATCAATGATGCTCAGGGTTCTGCCATTAACTGTACACTTTCCCCTAACATTTGATCTCCCAAAATGCAGCACCTCACACTTGCCTGGATTAAACTCCGTCTGCTGTTTCTCCGCCCATATCAGCAACTGATCTATATCCCACTGTATCTTCTGACAACCTTCTATAACATCTAACTCCATCGATTTTTGTGCCATATGCAAATTTACTAACCTACCCATCTATGTTTTCATCCAAGTTATTCACATATGTCACAAACAGCAGACGTCCCAGTACAGATCCCTGCAGAACACCACAAGTCACAGATCTCCAGCCAGAAAACAACCCTTCCACCACTACCCTCTGCCTTCTATGGACAAGCCAATTCTGAATCCAAGCAGCCAAGTCACCATGGATCCCATGCATCTTAGTCTTCTGGATGAGCCTATCATGAAGGACCTTGTCGAGAGCCTTATTAAAATGCATGTAGGCAACATCCACAGTTCTACCCTCATCGATCACATTCGTCACCTCTCCAAAAAATTTAATCAAGTTAGTAACCTGCCCTGCACAAAACCATGCTGACTCTTCCAAATGCATGTAAATCCTATCCCTAAGAATCCAGTCCAATAGCTTCCCAACCACCGATGTGAGACTCATCGGTCTATAGTTTCCTGGATTATCTCTATTTCCCTTCTTGAACAGAGGAACAACATTAGCTACTTGCTAGTCCTCTGGGGCTTCTCTAGCGGGTAGTGAGGATACTAAGATTTTGGTCAAGACCCCAGCATTCTCCCCTTCTGCCTCTCTCAATAACCTGGATTAGATACCATTGGGCCCTGGGATCCTTTCCACCTTAATGCTCTTCAAGAGACCCAACACCACTTCTTTCTTGATCTCAAAATGCCCTGGCATATTAGAATTTTCCACATTAATCTCACTATCCTCCATTTCCTTCTCCTGGGTGAATACCAATGCAAAGTAATCATTTAGGACCTCACCCATATCCTCTGCCTCCAAGGACAAGTTCTCTTCTTTATCCTTTAGTGGTCCTAACCTCTCTCTAGTTATCCTCTTGTTTTTAATGTATGTATCGAGAATGCCTTTGGATTCTTTTTAACCCTACTTACCAAGGTCATTTCATGGCTCCTCGGTCCTCTCCTAATTCCCTACTTGAGTTCTTTCCTGCTTTGTTTATATTCCTCATGGGCTCTGTCCAATATTAGCTTCCTGACCCTTACATATGCTTTCTCCCTTTTAACAAAATTCACAACCTCCCTCAGTATCCAAGCTTCCTTACCCTACCATTCTTGTCCTTTTTCCTTCCTGGAACATGCCAGTCCTGAACTCTGATCATTAGTTTTTTCAAATGCGGACTCGCCCAATGACAGCTGCTCTCAATTGACTCTCCCTAGCTTCTGCCGAATACTGACATAATTTGCCCTCCCTCAATTTAGAATCGTCCCGCAAGGTCCTGACTTATCCTTATTCATAGCTATTTTAAAACTTAAGAGGTTGTGATCACTAGCTATTCACCCTATCCATGGCCCTCATGATTTTATAAACCTCTGTAAGGTCACCCTTCAGCCTCTGACACCCCAGGGAAAACAGCCCCAGCCTATTCAAAGGTCAAACCCTCCAACTCTGGCAACATCCTGGTAATCTTTTCTGCACCCTTTCCAGTTTAACAACATCTTTTCCATAGCAGGGAGACCAGAATTGAATGCAGTATTCCAAAAGTGGCCTAACCAATGTCCTGTACAGCCGCAACCTGACATAGCGACTCCTATACTCAATGCTCTGAACCAATAAATGCAAGTGTATCAAATACTTTCTTCACTACCCCCTGAGGAAGGGTCACTGAACCCGAAACATTAACCCTGATTTCTCTTCACAGTGCTGCCAGACTGCTGAGCTTTTCCAGCAACTTCTGTTTTTGTACCTTCTTCACTACCCTGTCTACCTGCGACTCCACCTTCAAGGAACTATGAACTTGAACCCAAACATCCTGTGTCATAACATTTCTGAAATTGATTAGAATTTTGTTTCAAGCTCAAGGAAGAGTGAGGGTAGGAAGCAAAAAAGGAGAAACGAGGAGATGGGCTGAATGGCTTTCTTCTGCACCTACATCTTATGGTAGACGATTTGAACAAAAACCTCAAGGCATTCCAGTGACACTGAAGGGAAGTTACTGTATTATTTCTTGTGGAAAGTCAGGCAAATTAATTCGGTTGCCAGCAGTACTCCAGAAATGGAAAGCATAAAGAAAATAGATTATAAGGTGTGGAGCTGGATGAACACAGCAGGCCAGGCAGCATCAGAGGAGCAGGAAAGCTGACGTTTTGGGTCTGGACCCTTCTTCAGAAATGGGGGAGGGGAAGGTGGCTCTGAAATAAAGAAAGAGAGGGGGAGGCGGTGATAGATGGTGGATAGTGGAGCAGATAGGTGGCAGGGATGAAGCTAGTAAAGGTGAGTGTAGGTAGGGAGTTGGGATGGGCATTAGTCAGTGAGGAGGGAGGGGCGGGCAGGTGGGAGGGAAGACGGACAGGTCAAGGAGGCAGGGATGAAGCTAGTAGGGGTGAGTGTAGGTAGGAAGTGGGGGTGGGGCTTGGTCAGTGAGGTGGGAGGAGCTGATAGGTGGGAGGGAAGACGGACAGGTCAAGGAGGCGGGGATGAGAGGGTGGGCTGGTCTTGGGATGAGGTCGGGGGTGGGGAGATTTTGAAGCTCGTAAATTCCACATTGAGACCATTGGGTTATAGGGTTCCAAGGCGGAAAATGAGGTGCTGTTCCTCCAGTTTTCAGGTGGCATCGTTGTGACACTGGAGGAGGCCCAGGATGGACATGTCATCCAGGGAGTGGGAGGGGGAGTTGAAGTGGTTCGCAGCTGGGAGGTGTCGTCGTTTGTCGCGAACCGAGCGTAGGTGCTCCACAAAGTGGTCTCCGAGCCTCCGCTTGGTCTCCCCGATGTAGAGGAGGCCACATCGGGAACAGCAGACACAACAGACCATATTAGCGGATGTGCAGGTGAACACCTGTTTAATGTGGAAGGTTTTCTTGGGGCCTGGGATGGAGGTGAGGGGGGAGGTGTAGGGGCAGATGTAGCACCTCCTGCAGTTGCAGGGAAAGGTGCCAGGGTGGTGGGGCTAGTGGGGAGTGTGGAGCAGACGAGGGAGTTGTGGAGTGAGCGGTCCCTCTGGAAGGCAGATAAAGGTGGGGAGGGAAATATATCCTTCGTAGTGGGATCAGATTGCAGGTGGCGGAGAATGATGCGTTGAATCCAGAGGTTAATCAGGTGATACGTGAGGACAAGGGGAGTTCTGTCTTTGTTTTTATTGCAGGGAGGGGGTGTGTGGGTTGAGGTGCGGGAAACGCAAGAGATGCGGTTGAGGGCGTTTTCGACCACTGTGGGGGGGAAATTGCGGTCCTTGAAAAACGGGGACATCTGGGATGTTTGGGAGTGGAACGCCTCATCTTGGGAGCAGATGCGGTGGAGGCGGAGGAATTGGGAATAGGGGATTGCATCCTTGCGGGAAGGTGGGTGAGAGGAGGTGTATTCTAGGTAGCTGTGGGAGTCGGTGGGCTTGAAAATTGTCTTTTCCTTCTTAACTTGTGAATATATCCAATGAAGAGGTGCAGATTCAGGCTGTTTTGTACTTACATTTAATGAATTCTTTGCTGCTATTGCTCCAGCTCTGCTTTCAAATGTAATAAAGCCAACTGGCTGCTTTGATGTTAGCAAATTATGCACTGTATATAGCAGGAATAGAATGAACAAAAAACTTGAAATAAACAGAGTCTATAGGTGTGAGGTTGGAAAAGCACAGCAGGTCAGACTGCATCCGAGGAGCAGGTAAGTCAACGTTTCGGGTCAAAACCCTTCGTCAGAAACAGTTGTTCATCCATCACTTTCTATCCACTACAAGTCAATACAAATATCGTTTTAAGGTAGCAGTATCAATAGCACAATCAGTAAAGATTTAATACCTCTTACCCTTTTGTAAATAGACTATGTGCAGTTGACAGAAAAGACCCTGGAGCTCAGGTACAAAGAATCATTGATTTCTTGGAATCAGCCAAAATGCATAAATTCAAGTGTATAATGCACAAACGAGCATAGAAGAGTCTGGCATGAGGGCCTGTTAAGAATTGTTTTGTTGTTGTTTAGGATCTGGGCATGAGAAGCCATTGAGATGATGGGTAAAGGTATGTGATATTGCAGGATGGGGAATGGCAAATCTTTGGGTGTGGGCAGTGAGGGTGAGAGAGGGTCTTTTATCATTGCTGTGGGACTTTGATCCATTTATACTGAGTTGAACCTTTTAAGCAGCCTGCCTAGTACCCGGCAGCATCCGGTGGCTGCCTCTGAACTTTTTCCCAGGTTGGTTGGCCCAAATAGAGGCTATGCTCTAGCAGTGAAGATCATTCCTGCAGAGCCAATTTCTCTTGTGGTGGGTGTGCGAAGCTGTTGGCTGGGGGGGGTTCCCAAATTCCTGTTACTGCTTCAAGGAGGAAAATCTAGGCAATGTTTCATTGGCAAGCTGCCACCTATATCCACCAAGGCACACTGATGATAATAAATGCTTTGACAAAAAAAAAGTATTGGCACTTATACACTCAAAGAAAAAAATATTTATAAATAGAAAGACTGTTTATTAAGATAGACATGGTTAAAACTTAGAACTAAATGGTGAGATTAGAAAGCAAAATTGGATGTGTCAAGTCATTTATTGTGTTTAAATGGCTCAAATAGATTAGCTTTTACCTACGCCATGCAGCTTTATTCGTGCCAGTCGTACAGGAAATGAGGGTCACATGACTCTGCGATACCAAATGCTTGAGTCTCAGTGCACTGAACCTCTACAAGGTCCTGAATGTAGAGTATCTCACGACTGCAAGCACAGTATTATCTCAGTGAATGAAGCCATCCAGATACGGTTTAACAAACATTAATTTTCAGAGTCGCTGCACTCAGATAGTTGGATGGCTGGTTTGCAATGCAGAGTGATGCAAATAGCATGGGTTCAATTTCTGTACAGGCTGAAATTACCACAAAAGTCCATCCTTCTCAACCTCTCCCCTTGCTTGAGGAATGGTGACCTTCAAGTTAAACCACCATCAATCTCGTAATGAAACAATAGCCTCTAGGACTACGGCGACTTTACTTGCTAATTTTATGAACATTAAGGTCGTGAAACCTACACTCATCAACCGCATGAAATAGGCAGGTAACGAATCAGAAACTGACATTTCCCTTCACGATTTTATATTACTTAAACTCAGGCACAGGAGCAGACTATTCAGCCCTTTGAACCTGCTCCACCAATTTAGATCACGGCTGATCATCTCCTCAAAGCCATTTTCCACACTATCTCCATATCTCTCATGCCATTAGTTGCCGAAAACCTACGGATTTCTGTCCTGACTCTGCTTAGTAATTGAGATTCCACAACCAACTGTGGCAGAGCAAATAGAGGCTTGGAAAATATTGCCCTATTTTTTAGTCTTTAATCTAAGTAAAAATGTTAGTGATGCCAGGAAATCAGTCTCTAACAAAGACTTTGAACTATTTCCAGTGAATTTCAATAGAAGGAAGGTTGATCATGATAAAATATCTTGTGCTGTCTAGCTGCACAATCATTTTGAAATGTTGGCATGCATCAATTTTATCCACACAGTATTCTACAAATTTAAAGGAACAATTAATAATTTAACATTAAAAATATCTAATGATTTCTCTTTTTTTCATTCATTTGTGGGCATTACTGGCTGGCCAGCAGTTATTGCCCGTTCTTAGTTGACCTTGAAATGGTGGTGGTGAGCTGCCTTCTTGAACATCCCCACACCTGACCTTACAGCGAAAAGAAGGTTATCAATGAAGCAGCTGAATATAGTTGGGCCTAGACCACCACGCTGAGGAACTCTTGCAAAAATGTTCTTGAACTAAGATAACTGACCTCTGACAACCATACCCATATTCTTGTGGGCCAGGTAAGACTCCAACCAGCAGGCAGTTTGCCCCAATTCCCATTGATTCCAGTTTTTCCAGGCTCCTTGATGCCACTTTCAGTCAAATGCAGTCTTGATGTCAAGGGCTGTCACTCTCATCTCACCTCTAGAATTCAGCTGTTGTGTCTATGTTTGAATTAGGGCTCTAATGAGGTCAGGAGATGAGTGGCCCTAGTGGAATCCAAACTGGGCACCACTGAGCAGGTTATTGCTGAGCAATTGCTGTTTGATAGCACTGTTAATGACATCTTCCATCACTTTATTGATATCAAGATTAGACTAATGGGGTGGCAATTGGCTGGGTTGAATTTGTCCTGCTTTGCGTGTACAGGACATACCTAAGCAACTTTTCACATTGTTGGGTTGATACCAGTGTTGTAACTCTAATGGGACAGTTTGGCTTGGAGAACAGTAAGTTCCAAAGCACAAAACTTCAGTACTATTGCCAGAATGTTGTCAGGGCCCATGGCCTTTGCAGTATTCAGTGTCTCCAACCGTTTCTTGATATCATGTGGAGTGAATAGAACTGAATTCTGGTATCTGTTTTGTTGAAGATTGCTGAAGATGCTTCAGCCTTATCATTTACACTGGTGTGTTTGGCTCTTCCATCATTGAGGATGCAGATATTTGAGGAGCCTCCTCCTCCAGGGAGCTTATTAATTGCCCACCACCATTCACAACTAATGGGAGGACTGCAGAGTTTAGGTCTGATCCATTGGTTGTAGAAATTCTTAACTCTATCACTTGATATCACTGCCTACGCTGTTTAGTATGTAAGTAGTCTTTGCCAGGTTGACACCTCATTTTTAGGTATGCCTGGTGCTGCTTTTTCCATGCCCTCCTCCACTCTCCATTGAACCAGGGTTGATCCCCTGGTTTGATGGTAATGGTTGAGTGGGGGATCTACTGGGCCATGAAGTTGCAGATTGTGCCGGAGTACACATCTGCTGCTGTTGATGGCCCACAGCGCCTCATGGAAGCCTAGTCTTGAGTTGCTAGATCTGTCCAAAGTCTGTTCTATTTAGCAAGTGACAGTGCCAGCATAACACTATACCAGATATACTCAATATGAAGGCAGGACTTTGTCTCTACAAGGACTATGCAGTGGATGCTCTTACCAATACTGTCAAGGACCTTTGCAATATGCAGCCAGCAGATTTGTAAGGGTGAGGTCAAGAATGTTCTTCCCTCTTGTTGGTTCCCTCACCACCTGCTGCAGACCCAGTTTAGCAGCTATGTCATTTAGGACCCGACCAGCTCGATCAGCGGTGTTGCTGCTGAGGCACTCTTGGTGGTGGATATTGAAATTCTTCACCCAGAGTGCATTTTGCACCCATGCCACCCTCAGTGCCTCCTCCAGTTGTTGTTCAATATGGAGGAGTACTGATTCATCAGTAGGTATACAGTAATCAGCAGGTGATTTCCTCGCCCATGACATGGGGTATGGAGTTAATGTTAAATTCATCCTACAACTCCCTTCCGACCGTATACCATTTGCCACCAACTCTGCTGTCTGTCCTGCTGGTGGGGCAGGACATATCCAGGGTTAGTGATGATGGTGACTGGGATATTGTCTGTCAGGTATGATTCTATGAATATGACTATGTCAGGCTGTTGCTTGTCTAGTCTAAGGCAGTTCTCCTAATTTTGGCACTAGCCCCAAATGTTAATTTGGAGGATTTTGCAGGGTCAGCAGGGTTGTTTCTGCCATTGTCTATTCTGGTGGCCAGGCTGAGGTGAGGTTTTCTATCTGGTTTCATTTCTTCATTGAGACTTTGTAACAATTGATACATCTGAGAGGCTTGCTTGGCCACTTTCAGAGTGCAATTGCGAGTTAGCCACGTTGCTTTGGTCTGGAGTCACATATAGGCCAGACCAGGTAAGGATGGCGGATTTCCTTTCCTGAAGGACATGAATGAACCAAATGAGTTTTCCCAACAATGATGCCATGCTCATCAGTAGAGTATTAATTCAAAATTTTATTTATTGAATTCAAATTCTACCATCTGCCATGATGGGATTTGAACCAAAGTCCCCAAAACATTAGCTGAGTTTCTGGATTAACAGTCTCGTGACAATACCACTGGGCCACTGCCTCCCATTTTGCTATCAGAGGAAGAAGTTTGATACAGAACATCGGATTGAATGAAGAAGTGGAATGAAATTCACGTTAGCTGATTAAATGGAGACCAAGTTAAAAATGAAAGGATTCGTCTTTAGAATATTTCATTTGTTAAAGTTCCTTTAAGCCCTGATAGGTCCTCATCCCTGAAGGGAAATGTTCTATCTACTGTTGAAGCCTCCTGTGGTGTAGCCAACAGTGAAAATAAACTGTGAGCACTAGGCCCTATCGCCTGACAATGCAGTGATCTAGTGCACATTCCTTCGAAATGTTACTTTAAAACAAAATAACACAGGTCAATTCCACACTGACTGAATCCAAATTTCTCTTAAACATCCTGCAAAATTATAACATTAAATCTCAAGCCATTTATTCCAAAGTGGAAAGCAGCATAAATCATCTTTGACAGATATCCAATACTTACAAAAAGACTCAGGGCAGGTAAATCGTATTTTGTAATCTTCGCACTTGCCATCTTGTTGGTCTTTATTCGCACAAACAGATCCAGCAGTAACACTGCATCTGTTTAATATAGGAGAGGAATAAAGTAACAGCTGAAATAATTCATTCATTTTAAAATAAAACCACAGTTTCAAATTCAGATGGGAGAAATCATCATTTACTCAGTAATGTTGTCCCCGGAGGTTGATTGTGAAATTCCTGATGTTGTCTCCACTTCACAAGCAGTTGGGTTATTGCAAATCTGATCAGGATATGCTTTTCTGAGATTGACAAGATCTTCATAATCACCATTACCCGATGGGTCGTCACGGTCAAACCACCGAGTTTTGCAGTTGTCTGGTTTAAGGAGTAAAAGAAATTATACACTGTTAACAACAATTTCAAAGGTGGATTTAAAGGATATGACAGAATGTGTGCAGCATAGAAAGCAGAAGGTTTAGTAAGTGGGTTCCTTCGAGACGTTATCCTGGCTTAGAGAAATTAAATGGAATCAGAATTAGTTTCAGCAAGTATGTTTTGAGAGAACCTATTAAAAGAGGAAAATGAGATGACACTGGCCATAGAAGAAAACTATTTATTTCTATGTATCATCATTGCAAAAGGAATGCAACTCCTTTTTATACTTTTAGTATACAATGTACCAGATATTCTCAGGGGTGCTCAATCAAAACACTCTTTGTTCCCCAGCACACATTCTTGCCACCTTTTGCAGGAAAACTCAAAACACAGGTCATTTTTCTGTTCCTAATTGGCTTTTCTTTAAACTGTTCAAGTGGGCATAAAAAATTCTATGATATAGAATATATCGTGGGAATTTCCCCCCATGTCCTGGTCATTCCCTACCTTTATCTTATGAAGATAACGGAGAGAAAGAAGCAAAGAGACGTTTTGAGAGTTTTCTTGCTCAAAGTTACTGTACTTTTGAAAAAACAAGACAGTGTTCAATGGAAAGCAGATCCTACTGTGTTTTATTGGTACCATAAACAAAAACTTTCAGGCATCTTCACAATGTGTGGTGAGATTTCCCAGAGGTGGAACTGTGGACTTGTGTGATTCTAATGTGTTGTTGTATTATTTTATACATAACAGGTATAACACGTGTTAGAATCGAGTTTAAAATTGATAGTAGAACTTTTTTTCCTGATAATTTCATGGAACGTGGGCATCATTGGTGGGCACAAAATTCATTGCCTGTCTTTAAATGTCATTTAAGAGGCTGGTTAAGAGTCAATCACATTGCTGTGAGTCTGGAGTTGCATGTAGGGCCAGACCACGGCAAGGACAGTGGATTTCCTTCCCTACAGGGAATTGGTGAACCAGATAAATCGCATGGAAAATAATGGAAAAAGGTAAACAGTGGGGAGGGCTCAGCAGAGATTATTAAAGTTTTGAAAATAAATCATAGGACAGACAGTATGGAAGGGTTAGGAATATGACTTCAAGCAGAGCAGATAAGGGGGTAACTATGAGAGAGGAGCAGTCAATGCAGAACAAGGTGTTGTATGTAAATGCACACAGGAACTGAAACAAGGTAAATGAGCTAGTCGGGCAGATTGAATTTGGCAGTTTCGATATTTGGGCATCACAGAGGCATGGCTGCAAGGGGATCAGGGCTGGGATCAAAACATTGAACTATATGCTCCCTATTGAAAGCACATGCAGATGGGCAGGAGGGTGGGATTAGCTTGTTAGTAAAAGATTAAATTAAATCAATGGCAAGAAGTGAAATAGAGTTGGAAGGCTCTAAAGCTCAGAAGGTACTACTATCGTGGGAGTTATGTACAGGCCTCCAAGCAGTAGTCAGGATGTGGGACAGAAACCCAATTGGGAGATAGAAAAGGCATGTAAGAAAGGCACTATTGCAATAATCATGGGGGACTTCAATATGCAGGTGGACTGGGAAAATCAGGTTGGTAGTGGATCCCAAGAAAAGGAACTCGTAGAATGTCAATAAGATGTTTTCTTGAAGCAACTTGTGGTGGAGCCCACTCGGGAAGAGGCAATTCTGGATTTCGTAATGTATAATGACACAGACTTGATTAGAGAGCTTAAGGTGAAGGAACCCACAGGGGCAGTGATCATAACATGACAGAATTCACATTGCAGTTTGAAAGAGAAAAGCTGGAATCAGATGTAATGGTGTTACAACTGAATAAAAGTCTCTACAAAGACATGAGGGAGGAGCTAGCCAGAGTTGATTGGAAAGGAAGCCTAGCAGAGAAGACAGTGGAGCAGCAATGGCAGGAGTTTCTGAGGATAATTTGGGAGACACATCAGAAGTTCATCGCAAGGAAGAAGAAACATACTAAGGGGAGGATGGGGCAACTGTGGCTGACAAGGGAAGTCAGGCACAGCATGTAAGCCAGCAGAGGATAGTTTAAAAAGTAATAAGAGGGGAGAAGATGAAATACAAGGATATGTCGGCTGGCAATATAAAAGAAGACTGGAAGAGATATTTTGGATATCTGAAATGTGAGAGGAAGGCAAGAGTGCACACTGGACTCCTGGAAAATGAGGCTGGAGAAGTAGTAATGGAGAAGAAAGAAATGTAGAAGAACTTGACAGGTGCTATGCATCAGTTTTCACAGTGGAAGACACCAGTAGCATACCAAAACTTCAAGAGAGTCGGGGGCAGAGAGGAGTGTAGTGGTCATAACTAAGGAGAAGATGCTGTGAAAGCTGAAAGGTCCGAAGGTGGACTACACCCCAGACGTCTGATGGAGATAGCTGAGCAGACTGTGGAGGCATTGGTGATGATCTTACAGGAACAACTGGAGCCAAGGACGGTTCCAAGGATTGGAAAATGGCTAATGTAACATCCCTGTTTAAGAAGAGGGGGAGGCAGAAAATGGAAATTATTGGCAGGTTAGCTTAGTCTCGATCGTTGATAAGAGTTTAGAGTCCATTATTAAGGATGAGATTACGGAGTACTTGGTAGTGCATGGTGAAATTGGGGTATGTCAACACAGCTTTGTCGAGGGAAGGTCATGCCTAACAAATCTGTTAGAAGTCTTTAAGGAGGTAAAAAGCAAGTTAGGCAAAGGGGAGCCAATGGACATGACCTTATTGGATTTCCAGAAGACCTTTGACAAGGGGCTGCACAGGAGGCTGCTAAATGAGATAAGAGTCCATGGTGTTAGGGGCAAGATAGAGTCATGGATAGAGGATTGGCTGACTGGCTGAAACAGAGAGAGGGGTTAAGGGGAGGGGTCATTTTCAGGATAACAGCTGGGGACTGGTGGAGTTCCACAGATATCCATATTGGGACCACAACTATTCATATTGTACATTTCGACCTGGATGAAGGAACTGAGGTCATTGATTCTAATTTTATGGAGGGGAAGGTAGTGTTGAAGGAGCAGGGAGGCTGCATAAGGATTGGACACGCTTGGAGTGGCAGATGATATACATTGAGGGAAAATGTGTGGTTATGCACCTTGGAAGGAAGAATAGGGGTATAAAATATCTTTCAAATGTGGAAAGATTTCGGAAATCTGAAGTACAAAGGGACTTAGGAGTCCTAGTTCAGGATTCTCTGAAGATTAACATGTAGGTTCAATTAGCAGTTAGGAAGTCAAATGCAATGTCTGCATTCATTTCAAGGAGGTCTAGAATACTGGAGCAGAAATGTACTGTGGCGGCTGTATAAGGCTCTGATCAGACTGCATTTGGAATGTTGTGAGCAATTTTGGGCCCTGTGTCTATGGAAGGGTGTGATGGCATTGGAGAGGGCCCAGAGGAGGTTTACAAAGAATGATCTCTGGGATAAGACTGCATTTGGAATATTGTGAGCAGTTTTGAGCCCTGTATCTAAGGAAGGATGTGATGACATTTGAGAGGGCCCAGAGAAGGTTTACAAGGATGATCTCTAGGATGAAGGGCTTGTCATATGAGAATTGGTTGAGGACTCTGGGTCTGTACTTGATGAAGTTTAGAATCTCATTGGAACTTACAGAACACCGAGAGGCCTGAATAAAGTGGACATGGATAAGATGTTTTCATTGGTAGAAGATACGAGGATCTGAGGGCACAGCTTTAGAATGAAGGGATAATCCTTTAGAACTGAGATGAGGAGGAGTTTCTTCAGCCAGACGGTAGTGAACCAATGGAACTCGTTGCTGCAGAGGGCCGTGCAGGCCAAATCATTGAGTGTATTTAAGACAGAAATAAATAAAGTTCTTAACCAGTAAGGGATTGAAGGTTACGGGAGAAGGCATGAGAATGGGGTTGCTCTGTAACAGGGGACATAGGCATATCTGGCCCTGAAATTTATTTTGGAAAATAAGCTTCTCTGCTGCCAGGTCCCTGATGAATATGTTAACAAATACATTCAATTACAACTGCAAGATATTGTTACCTGAGCCACTCCGCACTAAGACCAACCATTAAATAAACTATTTTGCAGTATGTCGTAAAATTAATCATACTGGATGAGGTCTTTAAGATTCCACCATGGACACGTAGTCAAATTTTAGATAAACGAGAATGAACCCAATAAACAAATACTTTGGAGTGGTATATCTACCTTGGCGTTCAAAAGTATAACCTGAAATCAGAAACAAATAGTTCAGTCAAGTGGCATTTGAAAATTGCTCAAAATGAATAAAAATATTGTAAAAATCAAAATATAAATGATAACACTTACTATTGGTGCAAAGTATGGAAGTAATTATGAATATCTGGAATTACATATAAAGATTTGGTAAACAACAGTTGGTAAATAGCATACCTGATTAATAAATGAACACTACAAACAAGTGATTGTTGAACAAACTAGGTTCACAACTTGCAATGATAAATTATGATTTTGTAATTAAATTTGTGACTTATTATCTTACAGATTATCTGCATGAATAATATTTTAGAAATCTGACAGAGAAAGGTCTGCAAGAGAACTCTGTAGACAAATAATTATCATTCACAACTTGCACAAACCACGCGTTCTACTTTCACTGGATTTACCAATACCTTTCATTTACCTGATATTTCAACTGAAGTGTGAATTAACTCATTGTTTAAGATATTAGACAGAGGACTGTCATGCACAGTTAATAATTTGTACACTAGCAGAATACTGAACTATATTTTATATAGTACTTAAAATGTAGGAAACTGTGCAAGATTCGCATAGAATGTCCATATGTATAGGTGAAGAGAGGTAGCATGCTTTCTGCTTTCAGTGTGTTAACTTCTTGTATAGGACTTTGGTTCGACCACATTTGGAATACTGCGTACAGTTCTGGTCGCCACATTACCAAAAGGATGGGGATGCTTTGGAGAGGGTGCAGAGGAAGTTCAGCAGGATGTTGCCTGGTATGGAGGGCTCTAGCTATGAAGAGAGGTTGAGTAGATTAGGATTATTTACATTAGAAAGATGGAGGTTGAGGGGGGACCTGATTGAGGTCTACAAAATCATGAGAGGTATAGACAGGGTGGATAGCAAGAAGCTTTTTCCCAGAATGGGGGACTCACTTACTAGGGGTCACGATTTCAAGGTGAGAGGGGAAAAGTTTAAGGGAGATATGCGTGGAAAGTTCTTTACGCAGAGGGTGGTGGGTGCCTGGAACGCGTTGCCAGCAGAGGTGGTAGAGGCGGGTACGATAGTGTCATTTAAGATGTATCTAGACAGACACATGAATGGGCAGGGAGCAGAGGGATACAGATCCTTGGAAAATAGGTGACAGGTTTAGGTAGAGGATCTGGATCGGCGCAGGCTTGGAGGGCCGAAGGGCCTGTTCCTGTGCTGTAATTTTCTTTGTTCTTTCTCTTTTTTCAGTTCATATTACTGGTAATTGCAAAGATGAGTGCCAACTACAAAAGTCTCTCCCTGTTAGCACATAGCCTCACATGGAGTCTTCACCAAATTGGTACAGGCTGATTCCAGCAGTAGGACACCATCATGTCTCACTGGTTAGTAATTACCCACCTCAAGTTGGGCAGCCCTGACTAATTGGTGCTGACCTGCTACTTTCCATTCACTTTAATGGGCCTCTGGAGCTCAGCAACTTAGCTCAACAAATAGATGGAATCCATTGCTCTAGACAAACAAACAAAACAAACAAAAAGAATGAAGTTGCCAACTTCCCAGTTGACAAGTTGGAATGTCGGGGCTTTCTGTATGGGACTGGCAGCTGCCTTAGAAAAAATTAGAAACATACACAAATTGTGATCACCACGGAATTCAACAGCCTGAACATTGATGCAGTTTTCCTACCAGAGAGTAGACTCACTGGGAACAAATCACTTAAAGAAAAGCATCACACCTTCACCTAGCAGGATCCAGTAGCAGTACTTCTGTTTTTTCATTGGAACCATAGACCCCTGCATTTACCATGGCTAACCTACACATCCCTGGACATTACAGGGCAATTTTTAAGCAAAGCCAATCCACCTAATCTGCACACCTTTGGACTGTGGAAGGAAACCAGAGCAAACCCAAATAAACTCAGGGAGGATGTACAAACTCAACATCAAGAGTCACCTAAGGCTGGAATTGAACCCAGATGCCTAGCACTTGAGGCAGCAGTGCTAACCACTGTGCCACAGTTCAGAGAAGGTTTACTAGACTAATTCCTAGAATGAGTGGATTGCCTTATGAGGAAAGGCTAAACATGCTAGGCCTGTGCCTCTAGAAGTTAGAAGGGTCAGAGGTGACTTAATTGAAACATTTTAGATCCTGAGGGGTCCTGACCGGGTGCACCTCAAAAGAATGTGGGAGAATCAAGAAGTAAGAGTCATTGTTTAAAAATAAGGAATTGTCCATTTAAGGCAGAGATGAGGAACTATATTTTCTCTCAGAAGGCTGAGAGCCTTTGGAATTTCATTTCTCAAAAGGCACTTAATGCAGAATCTTTAAATATTTTGAACACAGAGATAGATAGATTATTGATTACAAAAGGGATGAAAAATTATCAGGTATATGCAGGAATCTGGCAGTCAGGTTAAAATCCAATCAGCCATGATCTTATTAAATGGCTGAGCAGGCTCAAAGACCCTAGTGCCCTAATTTTGGTCCTTGTTCATGTGTTTGTATGCAACTTATAAACTTAATCAGTTATAACATTCACACCTTAAAAGGGGTTCATGCAGCAAACTCTCCCAAAACAACGTTTATGTACAGTTAGTAATGGATTGTCTCAAGTGAATGTTGATGAACTTACCAAAATCATTTTGACAAATTTCTTCCAATTCTAGAAAACAAAATTCATGAACGCAATCCCTTAGAATAAAAACAGGCCTGAAATAGCATAAGAAGACAGATCCATATTAAAGAAGTGTGTAAATATTCTACAGTACAAAATGAGATTGCAGGGCCAATAAACAAATGCATATTATTCCACCTGGTCTCTTCCATTCTTTATTTTAAATATTCCAAACAAATCTCCCGGAATAAATAATCCACCTCTTAACTCCTCTTCACAATAAACACATTTTAAACTGGGTATCGTTTTAGTTTTTATCCTTTGGGCCTTTCCCTGGGACCACATGTCTCACTATGAGAGGTCAAATGGATTGTCATTTTGGACAATGCCACAAAGTCCTGGGCCACACTGGGTCATTGAGTTCTTTGTTCTCACCACATTTATCCGCATTTTGACCAATATCGCATACTCAGACATACTGTTGCTAAACTATTGATTAAAAGGACATTTGGAAGTGCAGCCCAACGGGGTCAGGAATGTTACTTCTGTCTTCTCTTTGAAATCATATACCACTGTTTATCCCACTGTCAAATACTTCTTCCTCCCAAACTTGCCTGCATATCTCTTGTGACTTGCTAGACGTCTCTGGGGGCCATGGTCATCTTAATAGCTACACTTGCATACTGCCTGAATTGCATCCGGAAATCTGGACTCCAGTTATTATTCATCATTCTGCTATTGTGTCTAAATCTGATTATAGGTCTTTTTCACAACCAGGATTTTAGCAATAACACAATTCTTTGTGTCATCAGTCACAAGGCAGACATGACCAGCAATACTTTCACCTGGAAGATTTGTGCATGACAGTAAAATTTAGCAGTTCAAACATAGAACCCTATCCGATTCTACCAGTCATCAATTTCCACTGCAGAAACACCAATAATTATTGATAATCCTCTGACTATGAAAATGCAAATCAATTTCTTATTCCCAAGTTGCTCCTTTAACCAATAAAATGGCTGACTGCGTGGTATCATGTCAAAGATCTAAGCATACAATTTTTTACAGGATTATTTTATTCATCTGTCTGCTAACCTTCATAACAAATGTAACCTAGTTTCTGGCCACAAAAACTGAAAACCATATTGAGACTTACTGTTTAACTCATTCGCTGCCCAGGACTTTCTAATTCTGACCTTGTAATAATGCAGCCAGACCCTGCAACTGTTTTACTAATTTAAAGCTACATTGAACTTTTCATATAAACTCATTAGCATAAGACTAAAAATAAAATCACTGATCAAACTATATAGTGCATGTTCACACAATCAACTTGTAATGGGAATCAGGCATTCTCAGGAATCACTGTGATAAATGAGGCTACCATTAAATGAGGCATTTCTTTAATTGACTGACTTAATACTAATGATCTTACTTTTCAAGTGGCTTGAGTTAACTGACTACAGCAGCGTAGCTGAACACACCTCCATGGCTACCAATTACTTTTTTATTGTATGTCTTCATTACCAAGGGCAGTTCAAATGACTGAATTTTAACTGTGGTATTTTAAATTTAATTTAAACCATTCTTCCAGAAGAAAGAGAAACAGATCTGGTTCAGCCTCTATTAACTGTGTTTCTGAACAAAGAGACCCAGTAGGGCAGGTACATAGTTCCTTGAAAGTGGGGTTGCAGGTTGACAGGGTTGTAAAGAAGGCATTTGCCACGCTTGCCTTCATTGGTCATAATATTGAGCATTGGAGTTGGCATGTCATGTTGCAGGAGTACAGGGCATTATGAGGCCACTTTTGGAATACTTTGTATAATTCTGGTCTGAAGGTCTTGATCTATGATCTCTGTTCTTCAATTAAAATGAATGGAAAAGAGAAATCAAATCAATTAAAAACCTTACCTGTGGGGAACCAGCTATGAAGAGGTCAGAATGATAGAGGGTAGCACTGTTGTTGTCGAAGTGATTTTAGCTTATTGCTTTTATATACATTCACAAAGGACCAATAGTGAAAGGTGAGATTCAGAAGAGGTAACATCATGCAAATATGTTGCCTAAGGTATCACAATTGCTTAGAAGGCTAATCACCAGGTAGGTGTAACAGATTAATGTTGTAATCCAAAATGAGCTGCATTTTGTCCTAGTTATTATGTTCAGAAAGTTACACAAAGGGTATAGCATTATGAACAACCATATCAAACATTTAGATAATTGTTATTTAATGTTACAAAACAGTGCTGATTTAAATGTGGGTATGCATATCTTTAATCACTGAATAGTCACATTTAGAACATAGAACAGTACAGCACAGTACAGGCCCTTTGACCCACGATGTTGTGCCGAACTTCTACCCTAAACCTAAGGTCTATCTAACCTCCACCGCTACCTTATACTATCATCCATATGCCTATCTAACAGCCGCTTAAATGCCCCTAACGAGGCCGACTCCACTACGCTCTCCGGCAATGCATTCCACGCCCCTACCACTCTCTGAGTAAAGAACCTACCTCTGACGTCTCCCCGATATCTACCTCCTTTCACTTTAAAACTATGTCCCCTCGTAAAAGCTACCTCCACCCTAGGAAAAAGTCTCTGGCTGTCCACTCTATCTATACCTCTGATCATTTTGTATACCTCTATCAAGTCACCTCTCATCCTTCGTCATTCTAAAGAGAAAAGCCCTAGCTCTCTCAACCTTCCCTCGTAAGACCTTCCCTCCATTCCAGGCAACATCCTGGTAAATCTCCTCTGCACCTTTTCTAACGCTTCCACATCTTTCCTGTAATGAGGTGACCAGAACTGGACACAATACTCCAGAGGTCGAACCAGGCTTTTGTATAGCTAATTAATGTCTAAAGACACATTTAGTGACTATAGAACTGCACGTGTACACCTTAAGCATACATGCACTGCCTCGGCTTCTTGAAATCTCCAGGGTATTTAAAATGCTTATTTGTTATTCTTATTATTTAAATTTTGGTTGGCAAATTGTGATCCCAGTAGTTCCTTTCACGAAACTGCAGGCAAGTGAAAATACTTTTGTGAATATCAAGTTGGTTCAAATGAGTACATTCATATCTTAACTTCGCCAGGATGAAGCAGACAAACTTACTGAGAAATTGGGCTGTTTGCAAGTTGTTGAAATATTTTTACAACTCAGTTGACAATAGACAGTAAGCAAACTGAGGTTGAGAGGGTGGAGAGAGTCAAATTCCTTGGAGTGACAATAACCAACAACCTGTCCTGGACTTCCCAAGTAGATGCGACAGTCAAGAAGGCACAACAAGGCCTCTTCTTCCACAGGCAGCTCAGGAAATTTGGCATGTCCATAAGGACCCTCACCAACTTCTACAGATGCACCATTGAAAGCATACTGTCCAGGTACATAACGGCCCGCTATGGCAACTGCTCTGCCCAGGATTGCAAGAAAGTACAGAAGGTAGTGTGCATTGCCCAGACCATCACGGAAGCCAACCTTCCATCCATGGACTCCATTTAAATGGCTCACTGCCGCGAAAGAGCTGCCAACAACATCAGAGACTCCTCCCACCCCAGTAATGACCTTCTACAACCTTTTCTGTCAGGCAGAAAATACAGAAGCTTGAACATACGCTGAACAGGTTCAGGAACAGCTTCTTCCTGGCCGTTATTAGATTGATGAATGGACTCTGTAGCCTCAAATAACATTGATCTTGCTAACGTTGATTTTGCCTAGCACATGCCCTGTGCAATGTAACCTGTAAGCCTCTGTCTAAGTCTTTTTGATCTGTACATCCTTGCTCACTATGATCCACCTCTACTGCTCGTAAACAAAGCTTTTCACTGTACTGTCGTACACATGACAATAAATCAATCAATCAAAATGGGGAAGATTGAAGGAGCAAAACCTGTATCCTGTCAAAGTGGGAGAGTCCAATAGCTGTTCCAGCCAGCTGATTGGTTGTTAGCAAACGAGCATTACACTGTGCCCCAGACTGTCAAGTTGGAGGATTACCACAGAATGGGCAAGTGTAATTTTGGGGGATGGGGGTGCAAGGGTGTGTCTCGTAGAGCGGGGGGTCACAGGGAGAGGAGGAGGACATGGGGATTGGAAGTAAGGGTAGTGTGGTGACTCTCAGTGGTTATCCCTACCCAATGTCCCTCGATCTTGCATGCTTACTGCAGATGGAGGGCCCTCCCACCACCTCATGCAAACTGCAAATGCCTGCCCACACTGATTCATCAGTCAGGGAGACAAACTCTCTCATCCCATACGGAAGTGAAAAAATTGCATAAGTGGACATATCATCAGCCCACCTCACTAAGTTCACTTTACACCTTCAGGTCTGGAAGATTCTGGCCTGTGATACAAAGACACACAATGAAAAGGCATTCCAACATCAACATTGGTAAGAAATTACTAATGGGTGGAATCTTACTGTGACCTAAGTAATGTGGTTATGTTGAGATTTGTGGCAGAATCAGACGAGAAGTCCGCTGAGGTCCATTGTGATGTCAGGAGCAACTTGCTGTATCTCTTATGCATCTGCCTATGGCAACAGGATGATCCTTGGTTTGAACTTCCAAGGGTTGGACAGGGCAGGCAGGGAGGAAGTGGAGGGCCTAGCTACCTCTGGAATGTTTAAGAAGAGACTTATGAGGGGACTGTAAGTGGTTCACCTCCAGTTAGGCATATCCTGACATCATGTCTCCTTATGAGGAAAAAGCGCCAGATATGAACCAGGTTTCCCATCACCCTGTTGTCATGCCTTTGGTCTTGAGGACCAATGGCTGGAGCAACCGCGTGCATGCGTATGCAGCTCTCCTGCAGACATTGTTGTACAACCTGGCTCTCAATGGCATCCGCTAACCTGTCTGTGGAAGCAAACAGATAGTTATATGTTTGAGGCAGCCAGATCCTCAAAGTGTAGCTGCACTCCTGCAGCCTCTGGGCAATGAGTAACATTGCATCCCATGTAGCTGTCTGCTGCTCTTGTTCCTCACGGTGCATGTGCATAAAGTCATTGATTGCTGACACCAAAGGGTCCTCTCCAACCTGGAGCAGAGCAGGTGCTTGGTCTCTGGCAGTCCTGATTGCCAGCAGCCTGGGCTGTTTCTTCCTCTGCCAGCTGCACAGCTATCATTTCAGATGCTCAATAGATTGTGCTCCCAAACATTCTCAGGCTAACCTTCCCACTGAGGTGTCAGTATCTGAGCTACTGCGGAGATGCAGGCGATAGCTTTGCCGATGTTTCCTCTAAGGCTAGTGAGGCCTAGATACTCTTGTTCTCAAGGTCAAGGAGGTGATTTCTGGTTGAGCATGCAATTTCATCATCAAGGTCATAGATATCCCACTTCTAACTGCAAAACACAAAAGACAGAAGACATCATGGCTAATAGTGGTGGGAGATGGTGCAGTCGTAAAGATACAATGAGTGTGAAGTAGCAGAGAGAAGGACGTGGCACTTACCTTGGAGTAGGGGAGGAGGTCATTGACCTTCTTGCAAGTCTGCTGGTCACTCCTCCAGATTGTGAAGACCTCACTGGCAAGGACGGTGACCTTGGAGCAGACCGCTATAGTCCTGTGCTGTGGTCTCCTGTGCTGGTCCTGCAGGAAGAGGAACCCTTGTCTGCACCACCTGTTCCCATGGGTCCCTCCAGGTCCCTGTTGGAGAATCAAGGTGCTATTTCCCCGTTCTTTGTCATCTTCAGATTGTCATCAAGCAGGGCAGTTTCAGAATGCCAGCGCTTCCAGGTTCACAGCAGCCTTTTAAATATGACACAGGCACCAGAGCTGTTAGTCTATTGGCAGATATCTACAGTGTGGAAAGTTGTTCTGGGAATAGCAAGTGCTAGAATGAGGATAGAATCAGATGAAAGGGATGCTGAAGAGATGGGTTAGGTAGTTATTAGTGTAGTCTGGTAAGATGTAGTGAGAAATCTCACTAGAACTCAGGATAAAACAATGCTTCAAAAAACTCAACACAACATATACTTCCCCAAGATAAGTAAGATTCATCTCAGTCTTGCAACATGAAATACAGGGAGAGCTAGCCATTTGGATACAAAATTGGTCCAAAGGTGGGAGACAGAGGCTGGTGGCGAAGAGTTGTTTTTCAGACTGGAGGCCTGCGACCAGTGGTGTGCCACAAGGATGGGTGCTGGATCCGCTGCTTTTTGTCATTTATATAAATGATTTATATGTGAATATAGGAGGTATGGTTAGTAAGTTTGCAGATGACACCAGAATTGGTGGTGTAGTGGACAATGAAGAAGGTTACCTCAGAGTACAACGGGACATTGATGAGATTTGCCGATAGGCTGATGAGTGGCAGATGGAGCTTAATCTAGATAAATGTGAGGTGCTCCACTTTGGTTGGGCAGGACTTATACACTTAATGGTAAAGTCCTGGGGAGTGTTGCCAAACAAAGAGACCTTGGAGCACAGGTTCACAGTTCCTTGAAAGTGGAGACGCAGGGTAAACAGGGTAGTGAAGAAGGCGGTTAGTATGCTTGCCTTTATTGGTCAGTGCATTAAGTATAGGAGTTGGGAGGTCATGTTGCAGCTGTACAGGACATTGGTTAGGCCACTTTTGGAATACTGCGTTTAATTCTGATCTCCCGGTTATAGGAAAGATGTTGCAAAACTTGAAAGGGTTCATAAAAGGTTCACAAGGATGTTGCCAGGGTTGGAGGATTTGAGCTAAATGGAGAGGCTGAATATGCTGGGGCTACTTTCCCTAGAGTGTCGGAGGCTGAGGGGTGACCTCATAAAGTCACGAGGAGCACGGATAAGGTGAATAGTCAAAGTCTTCTTCCCAGGGTAGAGGAACCCAAAACTAGAAGTTTAAGGTAGAGGGGAAAAATTTAAAAGGGACATAAGGGGCAACTTTTCATGCAGAGAGTGGTGAGTGTACGGAATGAACTGCTAGAGGAAACTGTGGAGGCTGGTACGACATTTAAAAGGCATCTGGATGGGTATATGAATAGGAAGGGTTTAGACGGATACGGGTCCAAATGCTGGCAAATGGGGCTAGATAAATTTAAAATATCTGGTTGGCATGGATGAGTTGGACCAAAGGGCCTGTTTCCATGCTGCACATCTCTATGACTCTGAGTCACTTGTTGGCAGTGCACAGAGCAGCACTGTCACATCTGGATCAGAAGGTGGTAGCTTCAAATTCCATTCCACTGAATTCAACATACATATAGGATGATACTTCAGTGCAGTGTTAAGGGAGTGCTGCAAAGTCAGAGGTACTGTTGATAAAATAAAATATTAAACTGAAGCCCTGGGCAGAATTTAATACCCTGTCCAAGGACCAGACTGGAGCTGGATTCATCAATTACTTGGGTAGGAAGTTAGCAGAGTGGTGGAAAACCTGTAGCCTTCCAGACTCCTTCCGATTAGCTGTCTATTTCAATTGGGCAGGTGTCCCTACTCATTGAGAGGGCCAATTTTATCCAGTACCTTGTCTACCCTATGGGATGACCCTACCTGTCCTCTAAACCAACCCTTCTCAATCCCTGCTACCCATTTGCTGGATGCTGCCCCATTCGGCCACCCCACTCACCTCTATCCTGACTCTGTCATGGCTGCTGTTTGCTTCTGATTTCCTACAGAACCATCAGTGACTATTGGGCTAGGTGGAGCTGTTGGGTATGAACAGTTGCTGATTAAGGCTGGCTACATCTGGAAGGCCCTGGGAATGCTAGTAGAAGGTAAGGTAGGGCTGGTAATAGCCTCATTGGAATTTAGTCCCATCAAAATTCCTGGCTGTGGTGGAGTGGTACTGGAGCTCAGCTTGGAGAGATTAAATACAATCTCATGGGTGGGCATAAAAGATCCTGTGAAAGTCCCTTCCTAGTGTTGTGACCAATATATATCCCTCAAAACATACCGTAAAAGAGATTAATTAGAACAGATTATCTGCTCACTTATCCCATTGCTATTTCGTTTGTGTTCAGTCTGGCTACCAACTTTTTTACATTACACTCATGATCATTTTTACAGGAAAGTACTTCATTGGCTGTTAAGGGCTTTAAGATATCCTAAGACTACCAAAAGCGCTGTATAAATGCTTATTGTTGTAATTAAAAATTATGAATAAAGGAAAATAGTCCTGGAACGTAAATCATAAATTTAGTTGCAGAACTCAACATGCCTGATGTTCCTTTGAGGGTGATGTTACTATGTTGGGGCTACCCTAAACTTAAAACAGGTCAAGTTTATCTTAGCTTTGGCAATAAAGGAAATGATTTTTCTGCCTGTTTTCGTAATTTGTAGTTATACAGTAATCAGTTTGGTCATTTTTACCAGATGTCCTTGTGGCAACTGATGATTACACCTGTCAGAGTTGTATCCTTAAAGATGTAAAGACTATTTCAAAAGCCTTACTTTGGTTTTCAGATTCCTTGGTTTCTATTTTGCATATTGCTTCTCTTCCTGCTCTTATCTAGCCTTGGAGAGCTGGTGAGAGTGCTGTATTGCCACCTATGGGGATAGCCCACCAGACTCAGTACACCATGGCTTGACAGTAGGGAGCCTTCCACAGCCTCCCACCCCACTTCCTGGTGGAAGCAGTCAGCTTGTTACAGGCTGACAGCTAGGCATTGTTCAGTGGTTCCACAGGGAAAACCATGATAGCGACTGACAATGCACACATCAGAGGTCCCAGATCGCTGAGGCACGCAGGCGACCACAGTGTAACTGCTGATTGTGGCACTGGATTCACAAGGATGGGGTAGCAGGGCGAGGGAAGAAGGTATCACGGACTTGGGGGTGGTGTGACTCTCAGCAACCAGCCCCAGTTGCTGATGCTGGGCCCCTTGACAGCCCAAAAATATCCAAATACCAGAATAGACAGATGAGCCCTTTATGAGCTTCTGCTCATGATGAAGCTTGTTGCTACCATCCTTGTTAATCATTGCAAACTACAAGACCTGCTTATTCTAGTATATTAGAGGAAAACCACTTGCTTGTGTAACTGGAATACTCACTTGTAGTTAACAAAATACAGTTTATTTCATGTTAGCAACTAGTCATAAGTTACACTGATATGATAGAAATTAAGGGGGATCAGATTTAGATCTCACTCCTTCGAAATCCTAAATTGTTCTACTTACAAGACCACTCGGCATCATCACAATGGATAATGCTTATGGAACTCCTCAATGTTAGTTATTCCCTTTCAGACTCATGTACATTTCGGATTTTAAATGATCAATAATTGGCAACAGGGCGAAAAGAATATCCAAAAGCCTTCCCACCCTGGACTTAATGAGACAAGGGCAAGAAGGAAGTGATGTCCATTACAGACACGTTCTTGCCTGATTAAATGCCCATTGTCATCAAACTCACCTCAAGGAGGGGATTAAATTCCACTGAAAAAAAATAAATGCTTTCTTTTGAAGGTGCAGCTTCAGAATTGCTCCGTTAGGAAGTGCTAGAGAGTCCACCTTTGAAACAGATCTGCTGTAACAAAATCCAAAATGCTGGTGCTATAAACAAGGAAATTCTTGTGTGATATTGTAGCTCTTCAATGGAAATGCCATGGGATTTTCCCTTTAGGGAAGGTGAAAGTCGGCAATATGACTGTATAGACAAAGCATTGTTACTGGAGGCTGAAGATCAGCATCATTATTCTGCACTCACTTATTTGGTGCTAAAATCTCATTCCCAATTCTTTTAAATAGTAATAAATCTTTTAAAGATCTTCAGAACTGCCCTAACCTACCATGTTATGCTTGGGGAACATAGTATTTCCTAGAGCCCATTGCCAGGTAACGTAAGCCTCCTGAACTGGCTGATGCAGCTGTGTTAGAGGTTCTGAAAGCCAA